ATGCAGTGCACAGTATTTCACGAGGCTCCAATAAAAAGGGGTGTACGCCGTTACGCACTGTGCGCAACCATCTTTCTCACCAATTTCAAAAGGTGATATATTTATGTTCTTCTATATGCGGGCAAGTGTTCCCAATTTTATGAGGCAGACTATAATGCACGGTTTTATTTGCACTGTTAGCAACCGCTTGCCGGTTGCACCTGATGCTCGTCGAGCCAACCTCCCAAACCAGCTTTAACCTCTTTAGGTTACTTGAATACTTAGTTCTGGTTTGTATGCTATCGGCTAGAATTGCGAACTCAACGTGCACGAAAAATTCCCAACAAGAGTCGTATCCTAACAGCGCCAGCTGCACAGGCAACGCTGAGTCACCAAGCCGTCCCGTGGTGTGAACTGAAGACATGAGCGCATTGTGAAACCATGCGGATTTGCGTACTCAACAGTAAGCGTCCTCGCTTTTCAATGGAAGGCTTCTGCTGAAAAGAGGGGAGCGATCACCGACTCCGCTTTGCATTACGAAAGCTCACAGCAAGAATTTTTTTTCTACGAAGAGGCACCGGAGCACGTCTAGGGACAATATATGGTAGAATTTCTTGCTTCTTCGCGCATAAGAATGGGCATTGACCCATAAGCAAGAGCCTAGCGCACTCGTACGCGCCTTCACACTTGACGCTTCGCTCTCCCACTAACTGCACATACAAAAAAATATACCAGAATACAGAATAAATCAGTCCTATAGTAAATAGTAACACAACCCTAATGTAATCACTGCCACAATACCACCACACGATGTATACCTGGTTAACTTGACTCATCTAACGCTTCACCCGATGCCATTGCTTTTGTTGCCCTGCGCAACGTCACTAGCACTGTTAGGCAAAGGGAACTCACATTCACTCTAGCATTGCTCGTTTCATAAACTGATTCATTCAAATATGAATGACAGTGTTGCCTATTTGCGTGGTAACATTTCCGCTAAGTGGCGGTAGGAGTATGCTAATTCAGCTACCCGGCCTCCTTCGTTGAAACAAGAGCTAGCCGACGAATCTTCACGTCGGGGAGAAACGAGTATCGACGAATACGAGCGAAAAGCGAGCTTCTCGGACATACGTACTACATGAGGAGACACGTCGGAAATGCAATGTGTAGTGTTTGTCAAAGGAAATGAAGTCGCTGTGAGCGTGACCGAAGCTGAGTAGGTGCGTCTGGTCATGTTCTCGTTTCCACTGCATTGAGCAAACGCTTGAAAGAAAGCGAAACTGCCGTCTTTACGGTCCAGGGCGTTGCAGAGCCATGATTTTCACCATTGCGACATGGAGTAGCAAGAGGTCGCAGGCACTCGAGTACCTAGTGGCTTCCTTTATTATTATTTTTCTCGTAATGGCTCCGCGTATACTAGGTTCAATGCATCAATGCTGATTGAACAACAGAGTTTAGATGTGGTAAGGTTTCTTTTTTGACTCATCGGCCAGGAAAACGTTGTTTAAGTTTGATAAATCGACAACCCCACTTCAACCAGGATTCGCAAAGCTCGGTTTAAAAGCAATCAAGTATAGCTTACCAATATTGTCCCGATGGTTGACCTTGTTGATCTTCTATGAAAGGGTCATCCAGAGCATAATTTATCAGTGTTTCTGTAGCTTTGATGCGCATATTACATAGCAACGAGCCCACCTTTGAATTAGAGACCTACGGATTTCCTGCTGAGCATCCTCTCTGCTTTTGCTACTACAGCATAACTTACACACCACGGTGTATAAGAAAAGCTTTTCGTAATCGGTTTTCCTCATAATGCAGTGTCAGTGTTTTTTTTTTGTTTACAGGGCTCATTACGTGTTGATATCTTCACAGTATGATTACAAGCATGAGATCTTCCTGGTTAAAAAATGAAGTTATTCCTTCACAAACACTGCTAGTTGTGATTTTTGTTTTTGCTCTTTTACTACTACCAATGAATATCACCCGAAGAGCGATAATAACGACAAAACGTTGCGCGTAAGTAGTTTGATTAGCACCGTCAGGCACGATTATTAAGTACAGCAATAAAACGCACATTTAATAAAACTTTCACACTATAGCTCACGTAATATACGCAAGTCATAAATATTTTTATCCCGAACAACATAAGCGTAACTTTCGATACATTTTTGGTTAAGAGACTGCAGCAGTAATTCGTTTTTATTCAACCTATTTACCATAATACCTTGATAATAATGCAACAGTAGAGCACTTAAAAGTATAGTATGGCTATTCATATCCTCCACGTTTGTTATGACGCATATAGGTTTAATAATGGTTCGGTTGGTTTGGGTACGTGGCAGCCCTTTTCGTATTGTTTTGTTCAGTCAGTAAGCTAGAGAAAGAGAGTGAGAGAAGCAAGCAACAGAAGGTACATTCACCAGACACACGTCTGTTTACAGAGAAAGAGATCAATGTTGAAGGCCATTATATTAGTCAATGAACGTTTAAATGACAACGCCCAAAGAACAGTCAGAAGATTTGATATACATTAATGAAGACTAGCCGGCCACATACAACATATTTGCGCAGTAACGTTAGAGGCCTCCAGAACCTGTAGCGATAGCAATTCGAACTTTAGCTCATTTTCTAGTGATCATTTAACTCCTGTGGTTTGAGCAGACGAACTTAACTAACGCAGTTTAAGCAGAAGTTTCTTGTGATGTAGCTGTTTAGAAAAATAAAACAACTCAATCTGCACCGTATGGACTGCCTTAAATCGTTTTTATGTTTCGTTTTTTCTATAGCTTTATGTTTTCCGCCCTCAAGCCCCTTCCTCCAGTGCAGGAAAGCAAACAGGACGTGCGTCTGGTTGCCTTCATCGTCTTCTTCTTCTCCTCCTCTTCTCATGGCTCTTATTCAATGCAGGGGATTGGCCGAGTGTTTCCTCGTAATACTTCTCGTATAAGCTACGGATAAATAATACAACAGATTTAATTACTGAATAATAGTATTTAAATGTTTAAAAGGATGAATATTTTAACTCAATATTCTTTTAGTCTTACTGATAAATTCATCTATGGCGTAATAAACATCCCTACCTGTGACTGTAGCCCAGTGTAGGGGCGCCAAATGATAGAACAACTGATTCGAATATTTCCAGACCAAAGTTTCGAATCATGTCTTTCCTTAATTCTTCTTCCTCCTTCTCTTCCTCCTCGCGATAAGCAGTTTACACATCTCGACAAAGATTTATCTCACTGTTGCCGCCACGTTCAGTGTGCCTTTGAAACAGCGTAAACACATCCAGGCGATTGTAGTTAAATCTTTGAACGACCCCGAAACATTGACTTTACCCTAGAAAAGCACGCAAGTCACGTTCCGAGTAACTCACCACGCTTTCATGCAAATTTTCGGGCCCTGTACACCGATCAAGGAGCGGCCTGACGTGCATGTCAATGCGCTGATATAACCCTCTTGGAGAAGGAGAGAGGTTTGAAGGGCATCGAGCGAAGGACGATCCAATCACTGTGGAAAAAAAAAGTACACGTACGCTTGCTAAGCAGAACAAAATGGAGTAATGCAGCTTATCTGCAAATATATTTACGGTAATAAAGTTGTGATTAGGGAAAGTAATTTCGGGGAGTCGGGCTTTATGAGCGAAAAAAAACAAGCACTTAAGAAAACTTGTTAAGGCGATATTCTTAGATGCCTAATCGAAGCCGCAAATCGACTGTCGGTGTCGGCGTGCCACGGCGCCATCTGTGGTGTTGACACGCGGGAAAAATCAAAGCAAGGACATTACCATGCTTGGGCACAGCGCGATAACAATAAAGACGGAAGAGTGTTTCCACGCTGTACCCAAACATCATCATCATCAAATCAACCTGACTACGTCCACTGCAGGACAAAAGGATCTCCCATGTTCCGCCAGTCAACTCGGTCCTGTGCTTGCTGCTGCCAATTTATACCCAAACATGCTGTCTTACAAACTTGTCCGACCTTTAATACTACAGCGATGATGGCGTCGCCGATCGGGATTTGGGATACCACCATGGTGTCGCTACATAACGTATCGTCACATCACGTCATAACATGATGGCGTCAATACAGCAACCGAGAATAAAAAAAGAAAATTGCGTTATAGCTCGAGTCCTGTCAGGCGAAGACTTAAGGGACGCTCCGAGTTTTTTTTTTTTAAGTTTCCATTGTTGTCAGCAATTCGCTACAGATCATGTGTAATGGGAACTGCAGCGACATTTTTAAAAGCGTCTTGTGAAGAGAGGAGCTTGAAAAACGTTAGGAGCAATTGCCCAAGGTCACTGGAAAAAACTACGTGTTCATTTTCAGTGAGCTTGCACAATTTGGGGTCACTCATCGCCCAAACAATAAACTGATGAAAGATCTGGCTTCGATGTATTACAATAACAGCAGTGACACTGGTACACATCATTTTGATGTGCGCTAGGATGACCACCTAACGCAGATCTTTAAATTCATGTTTCACGTTGAAGTAATCATCTTTCAATTCGTATTGACAACGGTGTGAACAAGCACTCGCTACTAACTAGTACTGGTCTGTTAACGACATTCAAGCATAATTTTTAAAGCTCTGCTGTTATTTCCTTAAGAGAAGCAGTTCGCCATGCTATCCGAGTGTGAAGAACCTTGTTTGATTGTATTTAAGAGTGTTTTGACCATATTGTTTATACAAATTTGATTGCTCTGTCTGTTTGATAATATGTGGTGTCCCAAAACAACCATATGATTATGAGAGACGTCATAGCGGAGGGCTCCGGAAATTTCGACTACCTGGGGTTCTTTAACGTACACCCAAATCTGAGCACACGGGCCTACAACATTTCCGCCTCCATCGAAACTGCAGCCGCCGAAGCCGGGATTGGATCCCGCGACTTTCTCTGTATGTTTCTAACAAAAAAAAATTTCTACCACGTCGTTCAATACAAAGATAAAGAATGTGCTTTTGGAGTGTGATATCTGATAGGGTACCGTGAAACAGGCGAGTAATGACACAGAAGCGCTTGTGATGTCATAAAAAAGAAAGATGGACTCCTTTTATTGTACTCACCAACGTACGTTTGGCACTTTATAAACAAACAAAATTACGCGTTAGGCGTATGATAATATGTACATGTTTTTGCTACCATCACCGCCATCATCAACGTCATCACACACATTTCTCCTGGTATTGTTACTACCACCACTGTCGTCGAATCGCCATTGAGCTTCTGTGCGAGTAAATAGGCGTGTGTTATTTACAAGAAATATTGACGCCGTCCACACAAATGGAGTTACAGGCGCTTCGCGAATGCTAGCAAGCGAAATTAAATCTTGCAGCCTTGAAATTACACATCTGATTCAACACCTTAAAGCTGCCATTCCTGTGACTCGAAACAAGCTGGCGCAGCAAGTGCACCCTAACATTCGTTTCGTGATATCTCACTTTTGTTTTCATCTACAACTCATTTGTGTATGATTCGTATGTATAATGTGTCACCAAATATTACCGTCAGGAATAACACTATTAGCTGCATCCTGAATAGTATAGGTGTCGGTGTTACCGGTAATTTTGGATAAAATTTTTTTCAGTTACACCCTTGGCGTCTTATTGTCCATGCGTTTGCGTAGACCATAGGACGGCTGATAAATGCCTAAGCTGTCTTGCTTTATTTTGGTTCTGCCGTGGCACTACAACAAGCGTTGAATATAACAAGACAGGTTCACATGACTTGTGTAAATATTTGAGTGCAACATTTGATTAGTTCTGGGGGGGGGGGGGTACAATTACTTAAGAGCCAGCAGATATGAGCGTGGTAAGTTTTAGGAATTATACTCAAGATTGTATATTCATTCGCTCACTGCGATTCCCAGTAAGTTAACCGCGAAATGAATCTCAACGCATTTGAATTGCTGAACTGGGTGTTTCTACTGCATCGTTCGAACGCCGTCAGGGTTTGCGAACCATAAACCACCTGTAATCGCACAGAGACAGGACCAACAAAAAGACGAAAAAGTGTGAACCAAACTGCAGAGAAGATTCCGAAATATCCACGTGTTGCGTCATGATGTTATGACTGGTAGCCAGTTGTTGGGACGGCAGCGTGTGAACTAAAATTCTTTACCAGCAATACCTATATCGCATGCACTCTTAAAACGGCTTACGAGTGACTAGGCAAGAGAGCGACTCAGAGATCTTCATAATACAGGAATGAGGTTACAGCAATGTATTGCTAGAAGCAATATATCGCCAATAATTTTAGCCTCATAAAGAAGAATGAACGCCCTTTTAAGCATCATTTTGGCCCATCGTGTATTTCTTAAGGTTTAAATGGAGCATACTGAACATACCTTACAAATTATTGACATTTAACATGCCATTATTAGTTAGCGTTTCTTACTTATCAGCACGTAAGAGACGACCGTGTATGCGCTGACATATGACTTCTTTCGGCGTAATCAACGTAAACAAATATTCACTTATAGATGCGTGCTTCATTAGGAGCCTGTTTTTGGCTGCAGCCTCCCACATTTCGAAGTGAGCAACTTTTGATGCTGTGCTTTACTACATTACGAGCTTTTTTCGGTTGGTTGAATATTATCTGGAAATATAAAAAACCGTAGATGAAAGAACAATAATTCAAATCGATTCAAGTGCGATAGTATGTTTTCATGGCAGCGATTTTCCAATAATCATACTATCTGTGGAAAGGTACAGCCAGTGCTCTAAAAAGTACCAGCAGCACTTGATCAACAGAGAGCAACAAACTACAACAATAAAATATAATTATATAAAGCTCAACATACAAAGAAACTTACGAGTGACTTCGTTAAAACTACTGAGTTTAGCCAGCTCAAAGAACAGTGAATTTCAGTTCAAGGGTACAAAATCTATGGTACATGACCCAATAACAATCCAGTACTATTACATGTTTAAGTTCGACGTTTTGATAAAAAATAATGTTGCTTTGATAATTAATCACCCTTCTGGCAACAAAACGTTTTTTTAATTCTTGATGTGCAAAAATTTGATAACATCTACCACAGTTGATGCCGGAGACTTGTTATTCATTAGGAACTGTACACGCTGACTTGCCATGCGCAGTTGTGATGATAATGCTGATAAAGTGCGCTGCGAGATGAAAACACTGTTCTTGCTCGATATACTACTTGCCTACGGTATTTTCAAGACGCGAACTCGCAAACAGATTTTTTCGACGTAGAGAATGAAATTGTTACGGACAGAACGCTACAAAGTTATTCTACAGTGCCTGATGAAAACGGCAAGAGACTATCTCTCCGTCGCTCATGAGTGACTGTGGCTTCCATCAAAAAATGACTATGCGGAAAATGAAAGAAGAGCATGAGATTCGAAGTGACTATTTTAACGTGTGCGTAAATGAGCAATATTGGTGAGTCAGAATGGAATGCTTAGAAGCGAACCACATAAGCGCTAAAAATGATAAAATAATAATAATAATAAAGAAACGATCCATTCAAGTCTGCCATGATCTCCACATCATTACCCACAAGCATTTTCAGCATAAAATCTCTTTTTGAGCTGCTTTGAATGATGTCCACAAGAATATAATGAGTTAGTGGTCTCTTTATTACAGCTCCAAGTTAAGAGCTCTCAGATGGAATTTATAAATGCTTGTTTCGGTTTCAACGCTGATTTATGGTTACTCTAAATGAATACCGTTTATAGTTTTGGTGCACAAAACTAAGGCTCAGAATGTTTCTTACATTGCTTTCGGCTAGCCGCTGAATAACTACGTTTGTTAGTGGTCATTTATTACGTGATTGATAACCATAACAAATGAGCCTGACTTTCATCTCTGAAAAAGGCAGAAGAAAAGTGAACCAACGCTACGGTCATGTAATGCTCAAGCTAATGTCAAAAAGATTTCGCATGATAGCACCGATCATAAAGAACGTGTACAATTTTGAAGTTTTGTGACGCGCACTGGGTTGGAGTAGTAGCCCGCCCTTCCGATACAGTCTTCCACAAAGAGAACGCAAGCAACCGCGAAAGTGAAAAGTCGGACAAGAGAAATGACCGGCGTACGCATAGCGTAACGCGTGTGGCAATGTCCTCCCTACGTTTCGCTGCTCGGGAAATCGCCTCGCGCCACGAAAGATTTGTGGCGTTCGATTCCAGTTGAGCCGTTGGCGTGCCGTGTTGCCCTCCGCGTCACTGGTGCAGTCAGCAGGGGCCCGGTGCCGCACGCTTACAGTCCGGCACGGCGCGCGGCAACGTTGTCGATGCACGTTCAAGGGAATGCCGCAACACGTCACGACATGGTCAACACGAAGACGACGGCGGTGAGAGAAAGCAGTGACGTAAACAGCAGTGAGCTCCCTAGGGGCGTCGCACTGCCATGCAGCTGCAAATCTGCAGAAGTTAGAACAGAGAAAATATATGATGAAGAGCCGAAGGACTTAAGGCAAGGTGCGAGAGTATATAGCAAGAATTACCTACAGACGATGCCACAAAGGGGTAAAGCGCGTTTTGTTCGTACAATAGCCCGTTCTAATAAGACCTAACTTCAACAGCAACATTAAAAATATCGACATAAGAGCGGAGACATAAATGGGTATTAGCGCCCACAAGTTGTTCATCAGCACTTAATGTTCAATCACCTATCACGACATATTCATATTACCATATAAAAAGGTATGCCTGCTTTCTCCTGGGCGCTAAGGGCACATCGATGAAAGGCGCAGCGAGAACGTGGAAAAATTGTGCATTCGTACAAATCGAGTAAGTTGGTATAGAGGCATGTTCTACTACGAGTGCGCGAACACGCAAAGCGAAGCGAGGCCGACTCACCAAGAATGCTGACTTACAACAGGTCTATTGCTGTTAATCACATACACATAGCAAATGCACACGCATTTGTGAAACAACATAATTTGCCGACGCACTTAGTTTAAATAATTGGACGACTTTCCGTCATATATTTGGTCAATAATGATAAACAGTCCACCACGAGTGAGTGTTCGGTGTGCCTCTCGCTTTGCTATTACTTGGTTTTTATTTTCCCGCTGCGAGTTCACAAAAGAGTGCACGGCACCAAGCGAATGCAACTTACCTCCAATTTTCACAACAGCGGGTGTGTAAGACGGCCTTTGGTCTCTTGAAGCCTCAGATAGATCCTGGGGTTTTGTCGTCACTACAGCTGCATGAAAGATGAGAAGCGCATATAACGTTTCCTTGTGCTTGTCATCCTAGCAGAATTCTTCTAAATTATTTCTCGAATGCGTACAGGTGAAGGTGCTGCAAATTATTGCTTAGCATTTGTCTTCTAGTATTCACAGTTAACTAGTCACAAACGGTTAAAAAGTTTAAGCAAAAAGCGGACGCCTCTTCAGTACAACATAAAAGAGTGCATAAAGGAAAAATTTTCTATATGCACTTGTGCAATATTTAATATATTGCAATATTCGATAAAGAAAGGCTTCAAGTCCTCTGTATCGTAAAAACAAAAAAAAAGATTAGAAAAAATACATCGGCAAAGCCGCATTCCTACGCACTTCCTCAAGGAGCGTTTAAAAAGCTTCAATTGAAGATACTGCTTAGTTTTTAGTGCGTAAACTCTTTCAAACACAAACGTCATTCTACGCCTATTTCCAGATTGTAAAAAACATCGTTCGTGATTTAAAAGATTTGCTGTGTAACACGAATCATCGTGTGACTAAAGTAAACAAAACATGCAGAATTTCGTTCGAGTTTTTGATTATCTTGCCAATTTACCCCAGCTTTATTTATTGATATTCTGCCGAGTAATTACAACAAGCGGCATGGGATACAAATATATCGCAGCGATATCGTAAATTGGTGGGATGACAATATGTTCGTCGCTGTACGATCATTCTAGGAAATAATATAGAGCTATCAAAAATCAAAAGTGTTGATAATACACATAAAATGACATTCCCTATAAGGACTTCGAACAACCTGCATTTTAAAATAAAGAAGACATGCGTGGATACAATTTTTTTATCACACAGTTCACATATAACACCTCGTCATGATACCTATTAACACTACAGTCAGGAATGACCAAGATTTTGGCAAAAGCAACAACAACAAAAAAAACGTGTCAGAAGATTTCTTCTGAATAATGCTCAAAGGGCAGTATAAGTTAGCTCGTTGCGTGAATTTTTCATTACGTTCAACGATTACCAACAGACAAGGAGGAGGAGGAAGCAACAAAAAGGGAGAAGGCAGGGAGGTTAACCAGAAAGACATCCGGTTGGCTACCCTACACTGGGGGATAAAGGAAGGGGACAAGAAAGACGAGAAAGAGGGAAGAGAGGGAAAAAATGGGGGGAGAGACTGGCAGTAATTTCACCAACAGACAATGCAGCCAAGTAAAGTATGCGGGAAGTTATATTTGCATATTAGTGCTTCTCCTTCACCAGAAATATGTCGGCACTCACGAGGCTATTATTCATCCAGTTACCGAAGTGTACTTACGAGACCATGTATATTTTTTAGCCAGCTAATAGAAGTGTGAGACTTCTTTTCAGAAAATGCACTAACTCGTCCAGCAATGCATTCTAGTAAGACTTACCAGCTTATAAGTTTGAAAGAATAGCAGTTTCTACGCAATTTTGTTCACTTTGATAGCTTAAAAAACTGTTGCTCCAATTTTAAATAGTGTGCCTCTTCTGTGAACTGGCGTGATCTACTTACTGGGTGCATAATTCCTAATGCGTGCTGGTTATTTCACATTTTATGAATCATTTTGATGTCAGCATTGCTTACTGAATGTATGACAATTTGCGCTGGCTAAACGCAGTGCGAAACTCTAAACGAAATTATTAAGACGCAAGATTAGCAGTGTGCGCCATGAATTGATTTAAAAAGTGCCTTAACTGATTGATTGATTGATTTTAAAAGCGCTTCAAATAATGTTAAAAATAAGAAAATTTTACAAATCTAGCTGCTTTATACGAATGCATACGTCCAAGTCAATATTTGAACTGCGGCGCTCCTAATTTTAAAAGCTGCACAAAGCAAACCCAAAGCGCGTTTAGTTTGCACTTCCAATTGTGAAAGAAGTTCGCAACTGGACTTAATGGCTCTGCACTAATGAGAGTGTTCAGAGACACTCACCCCGATCGCTGGGCCTTGTCAGGGAGTTTCGCATTTGGCCGTTGCGCAATTTTTCCGATTTCGCTCGAAATGCCTCGGGCGAATGTGACGTGGATGACGAGCTGGCTGGAATCTCTGCACCAGTCAAAGAAAAGCAAGGGCTTCCTGTCAGGAAAGGCCGCTCGGCCAATGAACCAACTCTTCTCTACCGCTGAATAGCCCAGGTCATAAAACTCTTTACAATTACGGATAGCTGACTGACTTATTTATTATGTAATCCACGAACGGCAATACTGCTATGCACACCAGATCCTACTCAAGCAGAGAGTTAGCGTTACTTACAGAAAGTGTGCTAATCCTGCTACACGGGTCAATTGAAGTGCACTTTGAGGGACCACTTTGCCACTAGTGTTATTCGTACGCTGTTACACGGGAACGTTTAGTGGCGCTCGCTACAAAACACACTTGCCACTGATTGCGTTCGCCACACTCACTTCACCACGATGGAGTGTCTAAGCCTGGGTATCAGTGACTCGAGAATAAATAGTCATTATCCGAAGTGGAGTTCACCACGTTTTCAAAGTATCCTTTTCGTTATTGGGGAGGTTGTTATGCATTGAAACATGCTATACAACAAGAAAGCCACTACGTTAGGCTCGCTCTCAGGAAGATTACAGACACGACCACCACAGGCATGCACAGCCCACGCCGTGCAATAACTGAAGATACTGCATTTGTGCATAATGTCTATAATAAGGACTCTTATAACTGTGACACAATACTAACAAAGGAAGATTTTCTCAAGCAACAAATGTCTGCTCCGCTACTAAATACTCATCGTTATTAACATCATTGTCTCAAGTACACTTCCCTGTCTCGTGTAGCAGGCCGCTTTCATATAGCTGTGGGGTGTTACGTGCACTAGCTGATAATGACGCTAAGCTTGTCAGCGTGACTGGGGTATAAATATCTTGAAGAAACTGAAGCTTGGGCGCGTTTCTAAGGATTCATTAAGAAAGTAATATCAGTGCGCAGGTGATAACCAAAAAAGAGTGGCTTTGATTTTACTTATCCTGTACACTTCCCTTAATATATAGCCCCGCCGCGGTGGTCTAGTCGCTAAGGTACTCGGCTGCTGTCCCGCAGGTCGCGGGTTCGAAATCCCGGCTGCGGCGGCTGCATTTCCTATGAAGGCGAAAATGTTGTAGGCCCGTGTGCTCAGTTTGGGTGCACGTTAAAGAACCCCAGGTGGTCAAAATTTCCGGAGCCCTCCACCACGGCCTCTCTCATAATCATGTGAGGGTTTTGGGACGTTAAACCTCACATATTAATCAATCCTTAATACATTAGCGCAGTTAGTACCTTTCTAACAAATGTAACTATTGGAAGAGCTAAGCAAAAATGTGGAAGAGAGGCATATGTCAGAAGGACATCACAGCACTGACTACGAATCACCGTCTTCTGCAGTCGGAAATATTTATAGCAAAATAACGAAGTTCGCAGAACTTTTTTGTAGTCACTGCCAAGACATTGCCTAATATGTTGCATATGACATTTGTGGCTAACTGCAGTGGCCACTCAAACTGTTTAGTTCTGGTCTAGTTGCGGTAAGACATAAAAAAAACTAGAACACTAACTATCCACTTCGACATTGCCGGAAATGTTTGCCCAGACGAGTAACAACCGCTCTTCCATGTATACAGTCCTCCTTCAGTGAAACAGATTGGTTGGCTTTTCCTGGCGACTTGGTGTATTGGGGAACAGCGGAATGCGAAGGTTAATGCTGCGAAAGAATGGCGTTGCGTATGGTGGCTTGGCTTACGCAAGGACACCAGTGACGAGACAATGTGGCCTCAAAGCACGAGTCGGTTGCGAAACTGGAACCGTTAGTTGGCAAACACAGTAGCGATGACAGGGTCGGGAGCGTGTTATCCTCGTTTTCTTTCTCGATTACACGGTGGTCCCAAATGCGCAGTAGTATCTATGCTGGAAACAGTTGTATACGCATAGATATACATACTAAGGCCTCTTTATGATGTGTGTACCTATGTGCACAACCTGAGGATCGCAAAAAGAATACTGGAAACAGCGGCAACAATATTTCTGTATTTGGCACGTTTTCTCCTTGTGCTCCGCCACTGCTAGATTTCTACAACGCACATTTAGCTCAACGACGAGGCACAGAGGTTAGTGTAATTGACTACTGACCCGATTGGCACAGGTCTGATATCGTCTGCAATGGTCGAGTACTGTGCAATTTCAGGGCGCGATACAGAACCCCAGGTGGTCAGCTATTGAGTCACTCAGCAAACAGCGTCATCTCATGACCCGGAGCACTTTGTGGGACGTTAAAAAACATAAACCAATGAACAGCCTGTTTTCAAAGTATCGTTTAGCGAACAAAGTTTACCAAGCGATACAACTACACAAAATTGTAACTTTGTTTTCCCATTTGCTGCAATTTTCTGGTGTTAGGACTGCAGACTACAGTTTGTTGTGCACTGATTTTAAGAGCATATAAACTTGAAGGAATATGAGGATACTGTAACTGAAAGGCAAGTTTTCACTATAAGAAGCAGCTAGTTGCTTAGGATTCATCATGCGTACTTTCGTAGTGCGATTTCACACGGTTTTAATCCAGCTGACTGCATGCACAGGTAAATATGTTGTAACGTAATATAACAAAACGAACCTTTGGTAACCGGACTTTGCGAACACTTTCCGTGTCATCGCAGACACAAACAAAAACAAAGTTTATGCTCCGTGTCTTCGAAATACAAAATTTATACATTCAAAAGCTTACGCCGACTAAATGCATTTTAGTAGTACATTGTAGCATGTCTGCACGTTTATACGCCGATAATAAACTCCCTGTATCTCTTTATTTTTAAAATTACTACCTAAGGAATAAAAAGGCATTACACCTACAATGGGCCAGTAAAATGTCAATTTTAGTGAACATATCTTTCAATGTTTTTATCTAAGGTGACATGCCTTAACTGTTACTATTATAAATTCTGCGACATCATATAAAAGCGCAACCATATAATCATTATCACATGCCTATTCGACGCAGAGAATAAAAAATAATCGAGAAAAGTGTATTTATTCCCTGATCTTAATTCAAAAATATTGCGAGAACCATTAGGTAAGCTGGAGATGTATTATTCCAATTCTCTTGCCACACAAAGCTCGTCAACAAATTGAAAAAAAAAAGAAAACCTTCTCCGTACAGGGAACCCATCCCGGGGTTCCCGAAAAAAAAATAATCAACGACGACCAAAACCCTCGTGAACAGCCATGCGTTAAGTCCGGGTGGAGCAAGATATAAGGTCCTGTGGTTAGAAGAGATCCAGGAACGGAGGCCATTCATTTTCTCGAAGTACAAAGCAACAAAAATTATAAAAAAATGTCCCACACACACGCACTTACGACGCTAGTAGAAAGCAGCGCGTGCGTAAAAAGACATACAAATCGCAGGTTTTCGGCTTTGCGGGGAGTCGAAGCGCGGACGAAGAAGGGAATTTAACGTTTTAATTACGGGAAAAGCGCGAAATTCCTCTCCACAAATCCTTCTTTCGCGATGGCAAGTCACCCCTCTCCTCTCCCCTCCCCTCTCCCTCCTCCCATCTGCTCCCTAAACAGTGTGCTGTAGGGAACGACCCTCTGAGGCTGCGTGTTATGAATAGGCACTGAGAGTACTAAGGAGTGGACGGTGAAGAGAATAGTCTCAAAAATGGCCGGAGAGGCAAAAAAAAAAAAGCACGTATTGAGCGAGACGTAAAATACAAACGCCTCCTTTGATTTTGTGTTTGTTTTTTGGGAACAGGAGCAGATGAAAATAAAAAGTGAGTCATACGAAACGCTTTTTATTTGTAATTCGCACATGATTCGTTTTCTCTCCCCCTCTCATTTCGTATGAAAAACCCAAGTACAGTACAGCGTGGCTCATTTGTCCTTATTTTCCTGACAGTTACCGTTCTTTAAGCACAGATGTCATTTTTATTGGGGTGTTTTCCTGCTACACACTAGACGTCTACGAAAGAGCTGAAAAGTTATCGAACGCACTGTGCACAAGGCTACGGTAACATGCGCAGCACAACACACAATACAGGCTCACTCGCGCATACACACACGGGACATGAATGATAATATTGTCATAAACATTATGTAAGCGTCTAAACAAACGCACCCCTTACACCACACACACACACCTTCGCGCGAACGAACTTAAACACACGCACACACTCACGTGCGAGTGTGTACTGGCTTAGATATATGAGTACACCCACAGTGCCCATAATCGAGTAGTCATAAAAAGCTTTGCTGGAACTTCAAATGAACGCCAACAAAAGAGAAGAGTGCAGTGGGAGCTAAAAAAATAAACACTTCGTTTCTGCTTTGAAGCACAGAAAATTGAGAGCTGACGTGAATACTGCCGTGGTTCAGGGCCTTCGCCAGACCTAAGAAAAATGCGCTTTTAGGAAGGACGTGATGAACGCGTTCGATTATGCTGTCGGAGTGGGCCACCCTTCCTCTTCCTTCGCTTCTTTCGTGTTCATAGGCAGGCCTTCATTTCTGGCACCGTGCCGGTCCTCGCTCGGCATGAGCTGCTCTCTGAGCAGACCCCGTACCGGTGGCCGAGAAACAAAGGAACGTTCTTAGCACCTTATTACCACTTCAACCTGGCAATTGAGAACCGGAAAAAAAAGAGCTCCCTCCATCACCTTGTGATGACAGTGCTACTCGACTGCTGTCGACGTCATACAAAAGCTCCTCATTGAAATCAATTCATTCCGCCCAACATATCAGGGGTGAAATTCTATTCACAGTGAGCTTGGTTTGAAAAAAAAAAAAAAGGGCACTGCATAAGTTTTCTAAAGCTACGGCTAGTGTCCTCAAATCCTTAAATCTCTGGCACTTGCTACTGGCTATAGGTTGTGAAAAAAAAACTGTACACATAAAGTAAGCGTTTCTAACTAGTCTTTTAAATAACATTTCTTCGATAACACCAAGTGGGGGTTTAGGAGCTCTCGAGAAATCATGACGTCAACAAGGCTGTGAGAGAGGTGTGTGCTAATCCGTGATGGCAGTTTATAGCTACCGTTCTTACAGCCCCTCTTTTATATCACGCCTGTGTTCACTCGCAACCTATAATACAGTTTTAAACTTACCCAACAAAGCCTATCAACCCGGATAATCTGATAAACCTGCCTCTATCTCTGTTTTCCCTCGGTCGCGCTGAGGACCCATTTTTTATGCGATAGCAATAGTATAGACACTCTCGGCTGGATTTCGCCGCCAACGTCGGTGTCAACGTCATCGTCATTCACCGTATGTACACTTGCATATATGTATGAAAACGCAAGAAAGATAACACAGTCCAGAAAAAGACTCCGGCGCGTGAAATTGAACGTCTGAGCACTTGCTTGTGAGTGTGAGTCGTTAGCCACTGATCCACGAAGAAGCAAATCATCAACGTTGGAATATATCTATCTATTACCACTCGCGATGGGCCTTGAATATTTTTAGAGCATAGTTAGTGCGCGGCAGCGTTTTCCTACAAGAATTACGACAGCGCGGTTTTCGTCTCACCGTAAAGCTTGATCGTTCCCTCCGTCTCGCCCAGCGAGTTCTTGGCGACGCAGTGGTACTCGCCAAAGTCTTCGGGTTTGAGCCTGCGGATCACGAGCTGCATTTGGACCTTGTACATGGCGTGTTGCACCGTTACGACCGAGTACTTGGAATTCTGGTGGATGATTGTGTCCGTGTTACGCGTCCAGTAGGTCACCGACTTGGGGTGCGACTCCAGATTGCAGTCCAGTGTCACGTCGGTATCGATGCTCGCGCCGACCAACTGGTTAGGTATCCATATCATGGGTGCGACTGCAAAAAAAAACATGCACGTTTATTATACGTCGTATCAGTTCTGAAAAAAATTGATGAACATAAACAGAAAACTAGACATGTCAGTTACCCATACTTTTTGTTTATTACCGTGACAAGACCGCAAAGCATTGCTGCAATTATAGCTACCCTGCCGTGACACAGAAATAAGGGGCATGCATAAAAGAACATAGTGTGGTGGAGGCTGCTTCGATCCCCAAGTCCTCTCCAACGTCACGTTCCCCTGGAGCTTCGTTCGGGTCGCCGCTTGTTTCCCCCGTCCGCTGTCATGGCTCAAGAACCACTGCCCGGAACATCCAGCATCCCCGTCCAACAAACCATTCCTGTGTGGATCGTCGACGCCCGGCAGCGCGACCCACCCATCTTCTCTGGTCTTCCACGTGACGACGTTGAAGTATGGCTGAAAGAATACGACATGACCAGTGTTTATAACCAATGGGATGAGCCTCAAATACTTCGTCACGTCGCCTTCTATCTGTCCGATGTCGCGAAAACGTGGTTTTTTTAACCACGAGAGCAGCTTCCCGGATTGGCCTACTTTTGCTCAACAAGTCCGTAGGATTTTTGGGAAACCGAACATCCATTCCGAAGTGTCGAAACGAAAGCTCGATGGGCGTGCCCAACATCCCGGGGAGACTTACACTTCGTACATTGAAGACGTCCTTGCCCTTTGCCACCGCATCAACTAGGCGATGACAGAAGCTGATCATGTTCGCCACATCATTTAAGGGATAGGCCATGTCGCGTTTAACGCTCTGGCTGTTAAAAACCCCACCACCGTTTAGGACGTCATCACCACATGTTAGCATCTTGATGAACTGCAAGCCATTCGATTGCACCCAGACTACCCAGACGCCAGTGACAGCCGGCCTTCCACGGATGCGGATTCGCGTGCGCTGATTCGCACTCTGATTCGCGAGGAACTTCAAGCGCAAGGTTGTCATGTGCATCCGCCCCTCGGCCTCACTCTCAATCTGCTAATCTGCGCGACATCATCAAAGAGGAGCTCTCATCCATGGCTGGTGCTCTCCTATAGAACACTACGGTGCCACCAACGCCACCCATGACGTATGCGCAAGTCGCTGCAATGCCACCTGCCTTGGTTCAGCACGCGCATCCTGTTCCTGCGAAGCCCAACGTAGCAGCATTTGCGCAACACTTGCCTGTCCCAGCGCCAGTACCAGCGCCTGTGACAGCTCCAGCACACGACGCCCCTGGCGCTCGTCTCGCCCAATATGTTATTATTGTGGAATTCGGGGCCATATTTCACGATTTCGCCGCAAGCGCCAACAGGACGAACGCCGTGGCTACGACGTTTACGAAAGGGATTCGGAGCCATCCCCGAACCAGTACCAGAGACACCCTACGACACGTTCCTTCTCTCCGATTTCTCCACTCTCCACACTTCGCCCTACCATCTCGGACGCCGCCGGTTCCTGTTCACCTCTGCGACGCTCAACATCTCCTCTGAGACCGGCTGCACCTACTTATGACTACCACTCGGAAAACTAGCTGGTGCAGTTTTTGGAGGGAAAGCTGCATCGCTCAAACCAAGACCTCCAGAGGGCCAGCCAACTTGTTATTAGTGTATGCGGAAGGGGTACCAGTTCAGGCATTGGTGGACACGGGGGCTGCTATTTCTGTTATTCATGCGGATTTGTGTTCTAGTCTACGTAAGGTTACCACACCTTATACTGGCACTTTCTTACGTAGCGCAAATGACTTCGCAGATACGGCCATCAGCACAGTGCACTGTTAGAGTTTTCATTGATGGGATTCGGCATCATATTCAGTTTGCCGTGCTGGCTTCTTAAGCTTTTATGCTTATTTTAGGATGGGACTTTCTTTCTGGAGCTGCTGCTTCTATCTCTTGTCGACAACGACTCATACATATGCGAGAGACGGATGATATCTCCCCGAAATTATCACGTGACCGGCTACGAACAGCCAATGACTTCCTTGTGCCACCTAACCACGAGCACGTTATCACGGTTATGTCAGACTCCATTGACCATGGTAACGTCCTAGTCAGTCCATCAGCCCGTTGTCTATCCAGAGGTATTGCACTGTCATCGAGTCTTGTCCGCTTCTCTAACGGCACCGCATTTATCGCAGTACTGAATATCACCAATGAGCCAATTCTGCTGACCAAAGGCACTGTTGTAGTTTCCAGCGTGGACACACAACCTATCTCTGTAGTGGCTTCGGATACCAGTCTGGTGGAGTCACGTTCGATACCAACAGATGCTCCACCTACTACGGCTCTCGACAATACCATCAGCACGGATCTCACTCCACAGAAAGCAGACGAACTACTGGCGTTGTTGTCTAAACATAAATTTTCTTTCGACGTACATTCCACTGCTCTAAGCCAGACTTCTGCGGTGGCTCATCGCATACACACCGACGGAACTTCTATTGTCCGTCGTCAACCATACCGTGTTTCTTCCAGCGAACGCGAGATCATCGACAAGCACGTTGCTGATATGCTAAGGCACAACATCATCCACTGCTTCTGAAGCCCTTGGTCGTCACCTGTCGTTCACGTACGAAAAAAAGACGGTTCGGTGCGATTCTGCGTTGACTACCGCGCATTAAACAATGTAACCAGAAAAGACGTATATCCCTTACCTCGCATTGATGATGCCTTAGATTCCTTACAAGGAGCGGAATATTTTTCGAGCCTTGACCTGTGCTCCGGTTAATGGCAAATTCTAACGCACGAGGATGACAAGGAAAAAACTGTCTTTGCCACACCCGACGGACTTTACGAATTGAACGTCATGCCTTTCGGCCTCTGCAGTGCGCCAGCAACGTTTGAACGAATTATAGACACTCTATTGTGGGGCCTTAAGAAAAACATGCTTATGTTACCTTGACCTCATCGTCATATTTTCTTCAACATTCGAACAGCACTTGCAGCGCCTAGATGAAGTTCTGGCGTGTCTCGCAGCTGCTGGCCTTCAGCTCAACACCAAGAAGTGCCATTTTGCTAGCAAAAGAATTGAAGTACTCGGACATCTCGTCAGCAAAGATGGAATCCGGCCTGATCCCGACAAGATTACCGCCGTTCTTCACTTCCCGGTGCCTCAACGCGCCAAAGAGTTCCGAAGCTTTCTTGGCCCTGGATCATACTTCCGGCGCTTTATACGAGATTTCGCCACCATTGCTGCGCCACTTCACCAACTCCTTTCTTCGAGAGCGTCATACGTATGGTCCGACGAATGCCAAATGGCTTTTGACACCTTGAAACGTGCCTTCACGTCTGAGCTAGTGCTTTGTCATTTTGATAACTCCGCACCCACGCTCCTCCATACTGATTCCAGCGGACACGGACTCGGCGCTGTACTTTTGCAAGGAACAGAGCGTTATGGCGAACGTGTGATCGCATACGCTAGTCGCATCCTCACAGCAGCAGAGAAAAACTACACCATCACCGAGCAGGAGTGTCTCGACGTTGTCTGGGCCATCCAGAAGTTTCGACCTTATCTTCACGGCCGCCACTTTACCGTCGTCACTGATCACCACGCTTTGTGCTGGTTGTCAACGTTGAAAAATTTGTCTGGACGTTTCGGTCGCTGGATACTTCGTTTCCAAGAATACGAGTTTGACGTTGCCTACAAATCCGGCAGGAAACACAACAATGCCGATGCCCTTAGCCGCTGTCCTTTACAATTCTCATCAGGCACTCTTGGCCTGTCGCAAACTGTGAGTGAACCCATCAAAGCGTCTCCGTCAGTTCATTCACTCGCTGCTGTCGACTTTCTTTCTACCTTCGGCAACGAGACGTTTGCATCCCATCAACACAGCGACACTTACTGTCACTCTATAATGCAGCGCCTCGAAGGCTCCTCTCGTCCTCCCGACGCCCGTGCCTATCGACGACTGAAAACTCAATCCTTTACCGCTTTGTCTTCCACCCCGAAGGGCAGCGCTGGGTTCCTGTTGTTCCTCGTTTCCTAAGGGCGCACACTTTGGAGGCGTTTCACAATGACTCCAAGGCTGGTCATCTCGGTTTTCAAAAAACCTATGAACGCATTCGCAGTCGTTTTGCCTGGCCTGGGCTTTCCAACTGCGTAGCGCCATATGTTGCGTCATGCTCGCTCTGCCAACGCCGCAAGTGACCCACTTCCTCCCCGGCCAGTCTTCTACAACCTCTCCCGTGTCCTGACGCTCCCTTCGATGTCATTGGCATTGACCTCTACGGACCACTACCAATATCAGCTAGCGGCAAGCGCTGGATTGTCACAGCAGTTAGCTACTTAACAAGGTACGCCGAAGCAGCTGCGCTTCCTTTAGGATCAGCAGAGGACCTTGCCACATTTTTTTTGGAGGCAATCTTACTAAGACATGGTGCACCACGCATCCTATTGAGCGATCGCGGCAAGGCGTTTCTCTTGACACTACTCGAACAAGTCCTCCACGCATGTAATACGATTCATAAGACGACATCCAGCTACCATCCCCAGACTAACGGCCTCACAGAGCGCTTCCGTCGAACTTTGACCGACATGATATCTATGTATATCAACGTTGACCACACCAACTGGGATACCATCCTGCCATTCGTGACTTTTGCGTACAATACCGCTACGCAGCGCACCACGGGCTATTCCCCATTCTTTCACTGATATGGACATCAACCGACATCTCCGCTCGACATCACCTTTTTTGACGTCCCTGTGAACTCGTCATCGTCATCGAGGGAGCACTTAATCTCTCGCCTGGCTGATTGTCGCCGACGCGCCCACCTCAATACAGAGGCAAGCCAACAAGAGCGAAAGACTCGCTACGATGGCATCCACCGCGTAGTTCTCTTCAATACTCGAGACGAAGTACTGTTGTGGACCCCAACGCGGGTTCCCGGCCTGTGTGATAAGTTTCACTCACGTTTCAATGGCCCCTACGCTATAGTCGAGCAGACGTCTCCTGTTAACTATCGAGTAACCCCTGTTGTCATGCCTTCCGATGGCCGTTTT